GTGTTCCTCCCTCTATTTGAACTTTTTTGCTTTTTTTTTTTACAAAAAATTGATTTTGAAAATTATGATGCGTCGTAATGCACAGTAGGTTTAATTCCAATTTTTTTTATACAATTGAACCCAAGTGACCCGATTTACTTATGAACTCAATCCAATGACTAAAACAAAACCTATAAGCCTATCAGCCATCTTTAACTATCCTCAAATGTAGTTATACTTAAATTTATGTATTTACTTTTCATTATTTTAATAATTAGGGGATAATTTTTTGGAATGTTATAGACATCATATAAAAGTATGATGAATTTTGAATAATAATAAAAATAAAAAATTTGAATGAAAATAATGCAGTTTATCATACTAAATGTAAGAAAGATTATTTGAATACATATTTAATTTAGAGAACAAAAATATTGTAATCATGAATCATGTTACATTGTGAATGTAATAATATATTTTTGTCATCATGAATCATGTTACATTGTGAATGTAATAATCTTTGTTGGTTAATAGAGTATTGTTAACTGTTTTTTATTTCAATTATGTAAAATGTACAGTATTGTAATCTTTTGAAATAATGTTTTTTTTTACACATAATATTTTTTTGAGTGAAAAATGCAGTCAATTACTTAATAAGAGTAAAGTACACATAAGAGCAAACGGAAAGAAACGAGAAAAACAAGAGCAAGTTATAATTTTTTTTCCCAGATCCCTGGACTTGATTAGATACTTTAGAAAACTAGTCGTGACAAAAAAATAAAACAAAATAATTGCCAGCATGTTTTTAATAAAAGCAGTCATTTCCTGCATTATTGCAGTGGTTTACTGAAAGTAGTCACTTATTACTTTAAAATTGCCATTTACTTTTGAGTTATCATGGTCATTTCGACCAAAAAAATTAATGTCAAATATGCGAGAATTAGAAAATGAAAAATAAATTCCTCTGAAATGAAATGGGTGAATAAAAATTTGGTTTCACAAAATATAATAATAACAACAGTAAGATTTTAAAAGACTTTTTTAATATTAAATTTATGTACAAAATTACTTTAATATCCCTTTACAATTTATAAAATTGTAATTTTTTAAATCGTCTTAGTTATTGGTGGAACTAAATTTGTAAATACTCCCTCCGTTTAAAAATATAAAGCATTTTTAAGAAGTTGGATGTTCAAATATGTAATGTATTTTTAATCTTTTAAGGTATAATCATTATTTTTTTTCAAAAGTACCTCTATTAATAATGACTTTATATTTATTGTAAGGTATTTAATAGAAGTAAATATGAAAAAATAAAATTAGTTTAAAAGTAGGTAACAACTTTATCGAGGGGTGAGATTCTGTTAAAAATACTTTATATTTTTGAATGGAGGGAGTATTATAATTAAACTTATAAACAATATAAAATTAATTGTATTTTGCTGATAGATGTTGTGATTGCCTAAATTGTTTTAATCATTGATGGAATTAAACTTGTGACTACTTATACTAATTTTGTAAACTATTTAAAATTATTTAAACTTTGCTAAATGAAGAAAATTGCTCATAGAAAGTTGTGATTTCCTAAATTATTTTACTTATTAGTAGAACCAAACTTGCAAATGCTTATATTAAACTTGTGAATTGTATAAAATTAATTGTAGATTGGTGCTAAAATAATTTCTTACAAAAATTTAATTCCAAATAAATCTTTTGAAATCTCTCTGTCTTTATCACATTTCATGAAATTAAATTACTATTTTTTTTTACATAGGAATTTATCTGACATTCTCTTTGAGAATTACTCTATTTATGGTGTTCTGTTTTTCATGTTTAAATTTTAAATTTGATTCATTTGTGATTCTCCCTTTTTATGTCCTTGGATGTGGGACTGTCTATGTATTGATAAATCTTTAGTTCAATTCTCTCTCAAAATAGAGAGGATCTAATGCCCTGCCATGGAAACAAAGCTATGTCTGTTTGTATATATTGTTGATTGTTTGATTTGTTGATGGAATGAGATAGAGATTATCACTTCTCAGTTTTCACTCCAAAAAAAAAAAAATGACATCAATAACCAGCCGAGAGAGGTTAGTGTCCTCCGGATTCGGCCTCGCCATGACCGTTGCCGTCGACTGTTGTTGTTGAGGGCGGCTATTCCACGTCGCATAGTTCCACCATGTCTTGTCTATTCAGGACGGCTGCTTCAGAGTTTCATTTCAAACGCTTCAGATGGAATCCTCTCATTGTTCGATCTTTCTGCACTTCTTCTCCTGGAGAAGCTACCGGCCTCTATGGTTTCCCCCATCTGAAGACTCCAAAAGGTTTTCGAAGATTCGTTGACGAAGCTATTGAAAGGTATTCAACATAAAATGCTCGCGTTAATCTGGTAGCAAAGTATATGCCCATTTAATGAATTGTTTCAGAGTGAAGATAAGAAAAGAAGTGCATGTTGTCTTGAAGTTCCTTTTTTTTTTTTTTTTCCTTTTTTCGGGGTAGCTACTGAGTTGGACTTTGGTTTCAATTTCTTTGCGAGAGCTTTGTACAGAAGAAGTCTTGCCGATGGGTTTAGCTATTGCAAATTTGGAGAATCAAGTTACACTAGAAAATTAATTAATGCAATGTTATTGATGAAGTATTTTCTCTTTCAATTAATTGATGATGTCAATTGTGTTCTTTTCAGGTCTGGG